TATGATGCTTAGAGATAATTTGTTGCAACGTGCTCATGTTGATTTGTAAGACATACTATAGATTTGTTTAAAAGTTTATAAACAGCTTACATAAATTTTTTTAACTAAGTAAATATAAGTTATTTTATTAAATAAAATAACTTACAAAGACTTCACTAAACCCAACGAAGTTACTAAGTTAATTTGTTTTAGACTAATTAAATATAAAGTAATAGATTAAAAAGATCTGGATCTATGTTCTGTGAGACTCTTTTAAGCACATTCTTCTAACAATGTTGATGACTTGATGTGTATGTATGGTTTATGTAAAGGGTAACTAGAAGAGAGAAAACACCTAGACTTTTTTTATTTATTTTTTATTGAATTATGTACCTAGTGCACTGATATGGCAAATCCACTAGTACATATTTCCTTTTATCGATATTTTGATGGAAATTGAAAGCTTATTTGATGAATAATAGTACAAAAAAAGTAAAAGAGAAGAGAGTGGACAGAGTTACGGGTTGGAAACAAAGATTGAAGGAAATGGAACTGTGGGGCATAGGAAAAGCTTCGGCTAGAAGTTGCAGAAGCACCACGAAGAGTGGGAGTGGACCAACAAAGTGAATCAGAATGAGATCACCGGCCATGTCCAATCTCAATTATTCACCTCGTGCTTCCATAGCATGCTGCAGGACCATTTAGTACGGATGCACAAGACAGTGCCACTTAATCAAATGTTGGCATGTTCAACAGTAACCACAGTCCACATCACAATAACCTGTTAGGAACTATTATTGACTCCATTGGGGTACGTTTTGTAAACTATTACTACAAGAAGTTAGTGTGTCTGGAAGAGTTAAAATGAAATTCTTTTATTAAAAGTGAATTTTATTAATATAATTATTTAGTTATAAGTTTTTATAAAGTAATACAATCTAACTATTGATTAATGTTTTATTATATATAATAAATGATGTATTATTTAAAATATAAATGAATAATTACTATTATATTGTATATTTATGAATTTTTAGATTACGTAAAATTTAATATCTTCATAATAACAGCACAATAATTAATAGTTGAATAAATAAAATTCAATAATTTATCAAAATTTAACTCCTCATAGATTTAAGTAATTATATACATGGCATCGATATCCATGATGTAATCCAGCTCAGTTAGCAATAGATCCATGGGTTATACAGCAGTATCCAACATCCAAGATAAGATCGAGTTTAGTTAAATTTATTAACAAGTGTTCATAAAAGTAAAGATTTAAATAATAAAATAAATTAAAATCTATATTTTTTTGAGAATTTTTTAATTTAAAAATATTTTTTTAATTTATAAAAAAATATTTATTTTTATATTGATTTTGTTCTCTTACAAAAAATTACCTAAACTCATATTTCAATTGTATTGAAAAGATATATGCCGTTGAAAAAGAGTTAAAAGTGTTTTTTATCAGCAGAAAATTTAAGTAAAAATACATAAATGATACTCCTATCATACAGAAAGATAATAAAATAGTTAAAAGTATTATAGTCGACAGAGTGTCGCAGAACATTACTTAAGATACTCAGTGGCTTAAAAAAATTAATTACAAAGTATCCAATCATGTAACCCCAATTGATGAGGGAAATTTTATATTAACTCATCGTTAGCTTTTTCTTTGTCTTATGGAAAAAAGAGTCTCATGTCCGTGACATTGACACAGTGCATCTAACACAGTTTTGACATTGTTCCGTTATTTTGTATTTTTGTTTAAGTTAATATATTTTTACTTAAATAAAAATATAAAATTTTACTTGGTGCAGTTTCAGTGCAATCTGCACTGAATCTGGATCCCTTGATTATGCAGTAACGTCAAGACTAATTAATAATCATCGTTTGGTTCCATTTATGTGAGAATTGCAAGCTCTCATTTTTATCACAGCTCCCATTTTTAAATTGACTTTAAATAATTAATAACAGTTAAAATTTATTAAAAATATCTATTTTTTTAATGTCATAAGTAATTTTTTTAAATAATATTATTTTTATATGTTTAAATTAATTAAGTCCTAAAATTAGATTAATAAAAAATTGATTTCTATTTTACGTTTTACTTATTGTCGAAATATATCCCCAAATTATCAGTTAGTCACGGGAGGATGTTTTTGGTTGGACTTTTAGACAAACCTAGAATAATTTAAGCGTATAATTATGAAAAAAAAAAAAAGAAACTAATATGTTGAATAATTATATTTTTTTTAAAAGCTATTTCAACGTATCTTTTTACCCAGTAGGTCATAGGTGCTTGAATTACTGGATTAAAATATGATAATCTAAGTACAGCTTGCATATAATTTTTTTTCCATCTTTATCTACCCTTCTTTGTTACACCATTCCTTATCGACATCGTTGATCTTTTTTTTTTCTATAATTCCATGCCACGTGTTATTAGTAAAAGAATTATGAAAACAATTGACATTAACTGTATAACAACTCAATAAAAATTCTTAATCATGATAGAGGTTGAGAAATTAAAAGTAAACTTTTTTAATAAAAATATAATATTCTAATCACTTTTGTTTCTTAATATAAATTTTAATAATTTTTTTAATTAATTAATGAACTTCGGAAACAAATTAATAAGATCCTAACTTTTCATTTCACTTAAACATTTTCTAAAAAATTAAATTAACTTTTTTCATATACATGTGATGTGTGTGGGACAATAACAATAAAAGAGTTTTAATTAACGTATAAAATGATAATCACAAGTATAATGCAAAATAACATGACTGTATTATGTGTGTGTCAACTATTTAGTTTAGCTTATGAGCAAAACTATCTAATTTATAAAAGAAAGATTATTCAAATATTATAAAGAGTATTACGTGTGTGTCAGTGAGGATTGGTTGATATTAGATATCTAATTTAGATAGAAATACAAGATTAATTAATTTAATTGTTATTTAGAATTATTTTTATTAAATAGATTGATTTTATAAAATTTAATATAAAATTAATAAGTACTGCATTACAATATTTTAAAAATATATATAAATATTAAAATTTAAAAATATAATTAGAAATTTAATTCATACAACATATGTGATTATATATATATATATTGCAAAGGATAATAGGTCGTTTGAATGATATTACCTGACCGTTTATTTTGGTCCCGCTGACGTTACCTTATCTAAACGGTGTATAAATAACATTGCCAACAAAGTGCTGAGCCGCAATATTTGGTCCATTCACGCAAGTAGAATATTTATGTTATTTTTCATTTATTTTTTTTTTGTATGTTCGTTGTATTGTATTATTTGCAACAAATGTCACGAAGGCAGTGTTGGCATTGATGTCCCGTCAAACATGCAAGCATCTAATCTGAATAGTTAGGTCAAAACAAATACTGTGTTTGCAGTGTAGTAGTGACTTTCCGTGAATGATTTGCAAGTGGTCAATTTTGACCTTTTCAATTAACAAGCCAAGTTTATCAATCATGAAATCCGAGTTTCAGGATAAAACAACAAAAACGTTTTCAGTATATTGAAAATCTTCCTATCATATTATTTACCGTCAACATGTTCATTTTAACCATTTTTCTGGTTTTAATAATGTTAGATTTATAATCAAACACATGCAAAAATATTATTTTTTTTCCATTGTCAATTTCACATTTCTTATATAGTAGATTGTATACATTAAAACTTCCATTTATATAGTTTTATATGTTACGTTTTTGCATGTATACAGCATTCAGTACAATATATTATGTACAATACTATTTTTTCCTTTCCTACCACTCTCCACTCATCAATCATTTTATTTTATACATTAATTTTTCTGTTCTCTCTCTTCAGAAAATTCTTTTCTTTGTTGTAAAAAATACAAAGATATTATACAAATATAATTTTTCGTAATTTTATATGTTTCAATGTTTGACTCAAAAGGAAATTAAAAATTTTAAAACGAATTGTGTTCACGCGAGTCAGTGGACTTATCAATTCTTTTAAAAATAAATAACTGCACATACATAAAAAATATAGCTTACGAAGATGTATCCAAAGTTCAAATTAGGTATTTAATTAATTACATTAAATTAAACTAATAAATATGCAATTTTTTCTAGTTATTATTTTTTGTTTCAATCCTAATTCATAACTCTAAAACACACACGATAATTATATGAATATTATTTTTCAATTAAAATTAATAATTTTATATGATAATTATTATCAATTTTAGTTACTAAAATGAAATAAATGATTATCATTACAACATGTTGACGTTAACAGGAGAATAACGTTTACACTTTATAGTACGCGTAACAAGTAAAGTTGTATCCAATTGATAAATGAAAAATGCTTAGGCTGGGTTCTATATATGAGATTCGCATAATATCCCATAAATAAAAAAGGAATGCTTATCAAATTCGTATTCTATTTATTAAGTTGAATTAATAGCACAAGCTTACATTTTAGAACTTTCTATTTCATTCCCTCTTTTTCCATTCACCTATATCCTCCCTCGTTTTCCTTTACTATTTTAGTATTGTTAGATTAGTGTGGTTTTCAATGACATCTTTTGCACAATATTGAACAATGTTCATGAATTGTTTATTAAAATATTTGTTATTTTCACGTAAAAGTTAATTTAATTATTTACCTAAATCTAAAACACTCACATGCACATAAATCTGAAAAGTCTACCCAACCTATACCGTCAAACAAATTTCATAAAAGATGTCATATACAACGCCACGTCACTTAATCGGGTGAAAGGGTTCAATGATTGAAGTGAAAAAAAAAAAAAAACATATTCCAAATTGACAAGAAGATGCGTGAGCTTCCTTGATTTCGCTTCCACCTTGTTCGGCACACAAATTATAAGCTTTATGTGATTCACATCCAAACTAAGAAAATTAAAATAGCACGAGGCAGGCAGGTCCAGACTTTTCAGTGCCATTTATAGAACACAAAGGCATGTATTCGGGTATCACCTTCCCAATAACCTTGTAACTTTAGGTGGGTCCATATACCGCACTACAAACATCAAAAAAATCCTCACACACACATGTACAAATCACCACCATGCTCAATTCCTACCCATTATATAAAGCCATGTCATTAAGAACTCCCTCACACCCTTTTTTTTCCCTCCTTAAGATCACTTCCTCCTCTTCCCTCATCCACCTCTCCTTATTCTTATTTCTCAATCGCCATTTTTCATTAACTTACCTTGCATCATATATATAACATATTGGCACATATATAACGCACTATTTATATTGTATCATATATATTTGTGCATATACAGTTGTTTGGGTTGCTAAGACCATGGGTAACGTAGACTATGCGTACCCTTCGGCCATGAACGTTGAGAGCGTGCACCACGTGGCGGTTCCTCCACCTCAGCCATTTTTCAAGTCTCTAAAGTACTCTCTCAAGGAAACCTTCTTCCCTGATGACCCTTTGAGGCGGTTTAAGAACCAGCCAGCCTCAAAGAGGTTCGTGCTTGGTCTTCAATACTTCTTCCCCATTTTCGAATGGGCACCCAACTACACTTCTCAGTTCTTGAAATCTGACCTCATAGCTGGCATCACCATCGCTAGCTTGGCTATTCCTCAGGGCATTAGTTATGCCAAGCTCGCCAACCTTCCTCCAATTCTTGGACTATGTGGGTAGTTCACACTCATCATCAACTCTTAATTACTTGATTTTATAATTTTATTGATTAGAAAATCATTATCTAGTGACCGCTTTTTGTGATAGAATATGTTTAGTTACTATAATAATTAATTTAGAAACTGAATATATTATTAATTTAATTAATTATATTTTGTCTTTTAACGATTAAAATAAAATTGATTTTTTTAAAAAATTCATGTTATTTTTTATTGTACGTGTTTAGATTCACATTTATTTCAATGCTCAAGTTATAATTAATAGTATCTAAATGATCTTAAATTTATGTTTACTTCAAATATTCACATTTTCAGATTTTTTAACGTGTTTTACAACTCACACCGATAACCATTGATCAATTACATGTGAAAAATGAATGAATATGCATATGAGCAGATTCGAGCTTTATACCACCGTTGATATATGCGATGATGGGTAGCTCCAGGGATTTGGCGGTGGGGACTGTGGCGGTTGGATCGCTACTCATGGGCTCCATGTTGAGTAATGAGGTTAATCCCAATGAAAACCCAAAGCTTTTCCTCCACCTTGCTTTCACTGCTACATTCTTTGCTGGTGTATTGCAGGCTGCACTGGGTCTGTTTAGGTAAGATCTTAATCAATCACATTTATAATACTCTATGCCACTTGCTATTCTGCCAACTTTATATTTATTTTAAACTCAACAGTATTTAATTTATTGTAATAACTATCTACAAAGTTAAATAAATTTTTTTGAATAAAGTAATAATATATTTAAAAAATGTAATATATATTGAAAAGTTATAATTAAAAAAAAATTGTTTTACATTAAAAACGGTTAAAAAAAAAAGACTTTTAAAGATTTTCTCTTAATAGCACAAATACTATATATTTTTAAATACCTCCAATTACTTAACAAAATAAGTTTTAAAATAACCATACACCCCTTCTCTTGTAATTCTTTTTCATCTCATTTATTTTATCATATTATATCCTTTATTTTTCTTTTTCTTTATTCATTCTCTTTCTTTCACTTCTTTAGAATTTAAAAATAGGTTTACATACATAATAAAATAGTGGCAGTAGAATAATAACAAACTTATGTAGTGCAAAAATAAAACAAATATTAATGTTTAAAAGAAAAATAAAGAACAGTATTTTTTTTCTACTATAATGCACTTTACAATCGAGATTTGTCTCTTTTTGCAACTCATGTTACTATTATATTTTAAATTAAATTCTGGAATTCACTTGTCAAGTTTCATTGGTAGATTCCCATTCCTTTCATTTTCACACGAGATCTGATATTATTATAAAATTGATCTCAAATATATTATTGTTATTTGTATATACATGTCACAAAAATATACTCAAATTATAAAAAAGATATACGAAAGTGTCTCCACTCAGATGTTCAAAGAACCGAACTGCATTGTCGACATACCCAAAAAACTAATTTCAAATTAATGCTGTTAATAATTTACATAATCTATCAATACAATATTCCCTTGATAATATTTATCAATACATGTAATATGGTTTTCCTCAAATATTAACGTTAATAACAAGGCATTAATCAACAACAAATGATGAATATCACAGGTTGGGGTTTATCGTGGATTTTCTATCACACGCAACCATAGTAGGGTTCATGGGAGGAGCAGCCACTGTGGTTTGCCTGCAGCAGCTTAAATCGATTCTTGGCCTTGAGCATTTCACCCATGCGGCCGATCTCGTATCAGTCATGCGCTCCGTTTTTGCCCAAACTCATGAGGTATTCAACAAATTGAAGATATTCTCTAATATATTAAAAGAGTGTGTTATGGAATTTAGTGTTAGCATTCTCAACTTTGACATACACTTTACACAGCTAGCTCACCCACCAGCTCCAAAATTATAATATAATATAACAATTTTAAATAAAATATCTTCATGTCGCTTTAACTTCTTATTTGGTTGAATGTCATGCAAGGTTTTCACATTTTCTTTTTGACTTATATTCAACATAAAAGTGTTTCCTTATATATATTTATTTATGGATTGCAGTGGAGGTGGGAAAGCGCCGTGTTAGGATTTTGCTTCATTTTCTTTCTCCTTGTCACGAGATACTTCGTAAGTAATACCTAATCCATATTCATTTGCATAAAATCTAATATTTTTTTATCTAATAATTATATGCGTTAAATTATTTATAAATTAATCTTTTATATATATACATAGTAGCAGGATAATAAATATAACTTGTTAAATAAAAATTTCAAATTAAATATAAGAGTGCTAAGAAAATACTTATATATATATATATATATATATATATACCAAGAGCTGCCTGTCACTTATTTTCTTTGAATTTATTCAGCCCATTGTTTCTAGAAATGGGATTTTAAAATCATTTTAATCTTTTGATTGAGACCTGGTTCAATCCTAATTAACCTACCTAGCTACTTCTCTCTTGATCAATAAAATAAAAGTCAGAAAATTTTCTCAACGGCAATTGACATTTTTTCCTTCGTTCGTCACGTCTCCATGCCAGCTGCTTCTATGACAGAAGTATTAATACTACAGTACAAAATATAAACTGCTGTTTAGATAATATCATATACCTAAATTAATTTAACTTAGAAATTGTATTCTCACACTAGATCAAGTATTCTCAGTTAATCAAATAAAAAAAATTGATAATCTGGTTGTGACATTGACATGCAGAGCAAAAAACAACCAAAGTATTTTTGGGTATCAGCAATGGCGCCGTTGACGTCCGTTATATTGGGAAGCCTGCTGGTTTATTTCACTCACGCCGAGAACCACGGCGTTCAAGTGGTGAGCATTTCCACTCAAAGACATTCGCATGTATGCTAAATTGCAAATTAAATATGGTTTTGATTATTAAAATGCATGAAATATTTTTTCATAAATAAAACTTAATTTGCACATTCTTTTTCACTTATTGCACTACCATTGGGTCCTACCGATACCGTCCATGATCCATCCAATCAATTTTCTTATCCGGTAGGACCAGCAAAGGAATCATTTTGAAGCATGAGTACAAAGTTAGCACTATTTAAATGTTACGATATGTTTCAAGAAAACACAATTATAAAGTCCAATTATTAATGTGTTGACCTGATTATCTTTGAAAACTTATCATATTGTTAATTTTTTAAAAGTATATGCTACCATTGATTTTCTGTTGTTTAAGATCTTGCCTCTAGAAAAGGGTAGAGGTGTGATGCGTGTCTTGTCATTTGAACAATAAATTTATATTAAATAAATATTTATCTTTCTAATAAAGTATCACTACCCTTTAACCTCAATAATTCTAACATTATTCTTTGAGCATGTTCAGATAGGAGAATTGAAAAAAGGGTTGAATCCACCATCGCTCACAAACTTGGTATTTGTGTCACCTTATATGACCACAGCTATGAAAACAGGTCTTGTCGTTGGCATAATAGCGCTTGCGGTGAGTACCACTCGAACTCTTTTACTTTGTCGGAATGCATGCCTAATGCCTTTGCTTTACGGCAACCATGTTACATGGCCAATGACTAAACACGTGTACACAACATAATAAAGACAAAACCCAACTCTGAGAGTCACATCCTTTGCCAAAGGAGAAAATGAAACTGGACACATTAAGCATTATTATTAATAATGGCAGCTCTGTTTTTAGTGTGATGATATTGTCCTTATCCTTTGACGGTGATTTGGATAATCAAATTTTGGTTGTGCTTTGGAAAAATAAATGTTGGATGGGCAAGATCATGTAAAGTCACCTTCCATCACATGAACTGTGCCAATCGTCCAACAGCAACATTTGTGAAATATTTATTTATTTTATGTAACTTTATAAGAGTATATCGAAATTTTATAGATTTTATCGTGGCTAGTATACTGTCTTGGCAAGGTTAGGTAGGGTTGCAATCCTGTTTACTTGCAATATTTGATGGGTTTAAATAGAATGAATATTTGCATCTTGCTTAAAAGTGTGTGATCCACTGAATAACAGGAAAGTAGGGGGAAAAAAAGATCGATTGGATTAGTTCAACTTGCCTCAAACAGGGACAAACTTGATATATGTTTGAATAAATATAAATTATTAAATGATATTTGAATAATTTAAATTAAAAAAATATACGCATATAAATTTTTTAAAGTAATTATATAATTACAACTAACTCTAATTTTGACCATTCACATGGATGGTTTTTAGTTTCATAAACTTAAAATGAAATTTGTTCTCATATTCTCTTTTTAGGTTTGAGTTTCCCAATATTTTTATTTGAATCTTTTGTTTTAGGCCCAAAATCAATAGTGGCAACCCAAATCTCCGAACGTGAGGATGAAGATAGTCTAATGGATGTTTGTTACTCAATACCAAATGCCTAAAGAAATACAATTTTGTGTGCTTTCAATTTATATATTTTTTTACTTCCCTTATTTTTAATTGATACAGCGGTTCTTCGTTTTTCAACGGTAGTACACCCCATTAAAAGATTTAAGTGAAGAAAATTACACCCAAAGTGAAAAATTATAACTTGGTGATCCAACTATTACTATTTACATTCACCTTTCTTCTGCCGTTTGAATCTATCTCAATTCCTAGTTTACCATTTTCCTATTCAATCATGAGCAAAATCCTTGATCTGCTCATCTTGTTTATGAGGATTTCAACCAGATCTTGAGTGTTGAATCTGATGATATTGTTCAGGAAGGAATAGCAGTGGGAAGGAGCTTTGCAATGTTTAAAAATTACCATATTGATGGTAACAAAGAAATGATAGCTATTGGAACCATGAACATAGTCGGTTCTTTCACCTCTTGCTACCTCACAACAGGTAGAGATTTTAATAGCTGTTAGTAATGAATATATATATATATATATATATTGTTTTGCCTTATTTAATGAGCTCTACAGGCTAATGTGGATAAATAATGAATGTTTCAGGGCCATTTTCGCGTTCAGCTGTGAACTATAATGCTGGATGCAAGACAGCAGCATCCAATATTATAATGTCAATTGCAGTGATGTTGACATTGTTATTCCTAACACCCTTGTTCCATTACACTCCTCTAGTTGTACTATCAGCCATAATTGTATCTGCAATGCTTGGCCTCATTGATTATCAAGCAGCCATCCATTTGTGGAAGATTGACAAATTTGATTTTGTGGTGTGCATGAGTGCATACATTGGTGTGGTCTTTGGCAGTGTTGAAATTGGCTTAGTCATAGCTGTATGTGTCAATGAGCTGCTTCACTACCACTCTGCTGAATCTTATGTTACTTGTTTCTAGAATTAATGTAAAGTTAGATAAAATTAACGTGTGCTTTTCTATGCATGCATATTCAGGTTGCAATATCTATACTTCGGATACTTCTATTTGTTGCGAGGCCAAGGACATTTGTTTTGGGCAACATTCCAAATTCTGTGATATACAGAAATGTTGAGCAATATCCAAATGCTAATCATGTTCCTGGAATTCTAATTCTAGAGATTGATGCACCAATTTACTTTGCCAATGCAAGCTATTTAAGAGAGAGGTAAGCTACCAACAAATTTGGAGTATTACTCTTACATGCAAAAAAATCTGGCCTACAATAGAAGTGAACACTTCTATTATTGTTCATAGGATCACAAGGTGGATTGATGAAGAGGAAGACAGAATCAAAACTACAGGAGAGACAAATTTGCAATATGTTATAATGGATATGAGTGGTAAGTAATGGGTCTGAAAATGGTAAAGCATTTGGTTATTAGATTTTCCAATCTAACTTGCAATATCATTTTATTGGCAGCTGTTGGGAATATTGATACAAGTGGAATAAGTATGGTTGAAGAGATCAGAAAGATTGCGGAAAGAAGAGGGCTACAAGTAATTCTTTCTCTAGTGTTATCTGCTAATTATGGAACACATTTTTCATATAGCATAAGCAATTTTAGCATGCTTGATTTGAACTTTTAAAATCATCTATTCCTATGCATGCAGCTTGTTTTGGTCAATCCTGGGAGTGAGGTGATGAAGAAACTAAACAAATCCAAGCTCCAAAATGATATAGGGAAGAAATGGATCTATTTAACTGTTGAGGAGGCCGTTGGAGCATGCAACTCCATGCTTCGTGCATGCAAAATGAATAGCAAGAAAGATGAATCTGAGGGTTGGAACAATGTGTAACTGTGAGCCATACACCACTGAGTATTTTAAAAAGCTCAGAAAGCTTATTCGTTTTTGTCTCAGCTATATAACAATTATTAGAATATGTGGTGTGAGAGTTTGTGAATCATGCCGCAGAAGTTTTACGGGCATCAGAAAATGAGAAAATGAAAGATGCATGGGTCTTCTAATTTCTTAACTTCGCTTCCTAAGTTGGAAGAAAAATTCCTACATGGTCTGTTGAATCATTATGTATCATGCTTGATAATCTATTCAATATTCAAATGTAGTAAAATAATTGCCATGAATATTGAAAATGATTGGCAAAATTCTAGAACTAGAACAAATCGAAGTGCAGGACTATCCACAAGTTCTCAAGTTTAAATCATTATTAGTAAAAAAGAAAACATTACGTCATTTGGTTACCGCGACAGTGTACTTGAGAGAAATAGCAATAATATCAAAAATACAATGTTCATGAGAAAATTCATTTACAACTATTAAATTAATACTAATTACACTTTGTCAAATAAAAGAGTGAGAGATTGAAATCAATGCGCATGTCCTCACTCACACATATATTCATTTTAAAAATATCTAAAAGTTCTCTCAAAATATTACAACTAAACTAACCAAAAGAATTAGGTGGATAGAATTTAGTCAAAAATGAACTAAGAATAATAAATACTTATTCCACTTGATTTGAGAATTATGATACTAGAGGGGATTACTTACTACCTCCAGAATGACAGATTCTGTTCTAGGTAGTTGTTTGTTTTTTGGTTTATGGTGTAATGGTTAACCCAAAAAAAATAAGATAAAGAAGTGTCAGATCACCATTAAGTGGACTCACGCTGATTTTGTAAAAAAAAAAAAGAATAAAAAATGTGTGTTATGGAAAGTTACAGAGATTTAAAAATAACCTTGTATAAATGTAAGTGTGTAAGCATAAGAAAAAAAAAGAAGGGAGAGAGCACGAAAGAGAAAAAAAAAGCGTGTTATGGGAAGTTACAGAAAAATAAACTTGAACTTGTATAACTATGAGTGAACAGGAAAAAAAATAGGAGCCTTCTAAAGAAAGAGCACCAAAGAGAAAAAGAAGCTGTCTTACAAAAAAAGACGAAAGATAGTAGCAAAAAAAAGTCATAGTATTGATCGGTTAGTTTGCATAATATATGCATAGAGATCCTGATGTTGCTGTAATTTCCTTTCTTGTTTCTATATCTGAATACCTAGTAAAGTTTGTATTTTGTGTTACATTTCTTCGCTCGTATCTTTCGTCTTTTTTTGAAGACGACTTCTTTTATCTCGTACTCTCTCTTGAGACGGCTTCTATTTTTGACAAATTATAAGAAGAGCCGAACGCGGACCCTCCCCTTCTTTTTTGACAAATCATAAGAAAGATAGCCTCACACCCAACCCACTCCTATAAGTAAACCATACAATTATCAATCTTATACAATTCATCCTATAAGTAAACCATACAAGTAGCATTGCCTTCGTACCTTATTACTGTGAGAAGGTAAGGAGAATCAGGTTTATCTACGATTGTCTCCGGCTGTGAAAGTCTGACAACGTAGCTCGACCGGATGTGATAGCCAGATCTAATAAAAGGGCAAAACTGTTGGGAAAGATATCAACAATCGAGTGGACTCACGCTGATTTTGTAAAAAGAAAAAAAATAAAAAAATGTGTGTTATAGGAAGTTACATAGACATAAAAATAACCTTGTATAATTGTGAGTGTGTGAGCAGGAGAGAAAAATAGAAGTCGTCTCAAGAGAGAGTACGAGAGAAAAAAAAAGGTCGTTTTAAGAAAAAGACGAAAGATAGCAGCAAAGAAAAGTCACAGTATTGATTGGTTAGTTTACATAATATGTGCATTGAGATCCGGGTGTTGCTGTAATTTCCTTTCTTGTTTCTATATCTGAATATCCGGAAGTTTGTATTTTGTGTTACAGGAAGACTTGTAGTGTACCAAAATGATAAACAAAGTAGTAGCCAAAAACAATACTCATTACTCATCTAAACCAGATAGAGAAAAGGATGAGATTATTCAGAAATTACATATAACAAAAAAGAAATGGTGAAAATCAAGTCTCGTAGGAGGAGCTGTTGGATTAATGTGAGAAGGTGAGGAGAACCAGGTTTATCTAGGATTGTCTCCGCCTGTGAAAGTCTAACAAGGTAGCTCGGCCGGATGTGATAGCCGCGGATCTAATTAAAAGGTAAAACTGTTGGAAAAGATATCAACCATCAAGTGTATTCAAGCTGATTTTGTAAAAAAAAAAAAAATGTGTTATAAGAAGTTACAGAGACAGAAAAATAACCTTGTATAATTGTGAGTGTGTGAGCAGAGAAAAATAGAAGCCGTCTGAAGAGGGAGCACGAGATAGAGAAAAAAGCCGTCTTAAGAAAAAGTCACAGTATTGATTGGTTAGTTTGCATAATATGTGCATTGAGATCCTGGTATTGTTGTAATTTCCTTTCTTGTTTCTATATCTGAATACTTGGTGAAGTTTGCATTTTGTGTTACAGGAAGACTTGTAGTGTACCAAAATGATAAACAAAGTAATAGCCAAAAACAATACCCATTACTCATCTAAACCAGATTGAGAAAAAGATGGGATCATTCATAAATTACATATAACAAAAAAGAAATGGTGAAAATCAAGTCTCGGCAGAGGAGTTGATGGATTACTATGAGAAGGTGAGGAGAACCAGGTTTATCTACGATTGTCTTCACCTGTGGAAGTCTGACAAGGTAGCTTGCTCGGATGTGATAGCCGCCCTGTTACATTTCTTCGCTCATATCTTTTGTCTTTTTCTTAAGACGACTTCTTTTATCTCGTACTCTCTCTTAAAACGGCTTCTATTTTTCTCTCGTGCATACACATTCACAATTATACTTTTAAGAAGTTATAACTTTCCATAACACACATTTTTTTTTTCGTTTACAAAACCTGACAACAACTTGTGGCTGAATGAAGATGTAAAAATATTATTGGTAAAAAAAATATATAAGACAAACATTGATTGACCAAAGACATTGATTCATAAAAAATATACGATGTAAAAATATTGTTTTTTTTTTTTCATTTTACATTGATTGACCAAAGACACAATATTCTTTCTTTATCTGAGCTTGGGATCATAGGCTTGGTTTTCAAGTTTAAATCATTATTAGTAAAAAAAATAAAAATTACGTCATTTGGTTACCGCATATATGTGATAGTGTACTTGAAAGAAATAACAATAATACCAAAATATAATGTTCATGAGAAAATTCATTTACAACCATTAAATTAATACTAATTACACTTTAATCAAATAAAAGATTGAGAGATTGAAATCGATGCGCATGTCCTCACTCACACATATTTTCATTTTAAAAATCTCTAAAGGTTCTCTCAAAATATTATTAGTAGGAAATGAATTAAGAATAATAAATACTTCACTTGATTTGAGAATTATGATGCTGATACCAGAGGGGATTACTTACTACCTCCAGATTGACAAATTCTATTCTCTGTAGTTGTTTGTTTTTTGGTTTATACTGTAATGGTTAACTCAGAAAAAAAAAAGATAAAGAAGTGTCAAGTCACCATCAAGTGGACTCATGCTAATTTTGTAAAAAGAAAAAGAATAAAAAATGTGTGAACCCAAAGAAAAAAAAAGGATAAAGAAGATATTAAAAATAATTAAACATGACAACATGAGCCTTTTAGCTCCTAAATATGTCCGAGTCCATAGCCCAAAAATGGAGATAAAAGAAATTGAGGAAAAGAAAAAATGGTGAGCTGTTTCTGTTAAGGAATAGTCTATTGTACCAAAATGATAAACAAAATAGTAGCAAAAAATAATACTCATTACTCATCTAAACTAGATAAAGAAAAGGATGGGATTATTCAGAAATTATATATAACAAAAAAGAAATAGTAAAAATTCCATCCTAGCCTGAGCCTCTTCTTAGGAGTAAATGAAGCACAACATGTACAGCATGATCAAAATATGTAGGGTCTTAAAGCAACTTAGGAAGGAAATTTTACAAAAAAGAAAGCTAATGTCTCAATTTTCTCATACTTTAAACTGTATGGTAACCATCAATCAATCTCCTTTGGTGGGAGGTCTCACACATGCACAAAAGGGTACTTTTTTCTTCTTTTGATTGTTGTTTCTCATCCCACCATAAAGATAATCTCGCAGAAGAACTCTTGGACTTCGATCAATTATTCTTGTTTTTTCCTTGCTCTCTTTTCCATCACCCAGTTTCAGCAGCAGAAACTGTAGTCTTTGCACCTCCAAATGTAGTTGTCCTATTTTTTCTGATTCTCTCCGAGCCTGTTCTGAAACTTCCTTTATGCCGGCACTTCCACTCCCATCTGACTCTGTTGTAGGAGCCTTCCCAACAGAAGACAAGGTACCCTCTTCTACATTCTTCATCAGCTTGCGGTTGGCATCAACTAACTTTGCCATGGTCTCCTGAGCAGATTCAAGTTGCCCTTTCACCTCATCATACTCAACACCTTTTCCCTTTGTGTTCTTCTCTGTGTTCTCCACCCTTTTCATCAAATCTTGAATGGTTATCTGAAGGTTTGTCAACTTTTGTGCATCAGAATCAAGTCTTTCTAAAATCTTGCTCTTGTTCCCTTGTTCTTGTGGTTGTGTCAATCTTCTTGATATCTCTAACTTGTCCACACTCAGCTCCTTTTCTACCAAGGACTCTGATGAAGGATATTTATTTTTGGATTCCACGGTTGCATCTCTTTGATGATTGTCAGCTGCTCCAGCTACCACCTTCTGCGTCTTGTCGACTTGCATGCCAATAGTGGAATCCTTATCAGCTGTTTCCCACAATTCAAGCATCTGATCATCAGCTTCAACAGTTTCTCTCCTACTTATCCCATATGATGAACATTCAGACATCTGATCAAGCATGATGTCTTTTGGAAGAACTTCAATCTCGGTAACAGGGCCATCTTGCCTTGCTTCATCGTTGGCTTTCAAACTTCCATTCAACTGCTTAACTGCCATTTCAATTGCATTGATCCTTCTCTGCATGTCTAGGAAGTCATGGAGTGCATATGGTGACATAGCAGTCTGATCCTCATCTGTTTGTTGACTATTTTCAGCATATTGGTTATTCACCGAATTTTTAACCTGGAAATGGTGATTATGATTGAATCAAATTATATATAAATATAAAAATGAAATAACGGTTACAAGTCGAAAAAGGAATTCAATTTGTGTTATAAAATCACCAGGCAATGACCTGGCATTGACATACAAGAAAGCAGATGCCTACAAAGTTCGCTAGCATTAAAATACTACAAAATAGATTATTGACTAACTATATTATGGGGAAAAACTAGTTTACTTTAATTAAATAGATCTGGAAATTGGTCTATTCCATAACAATCAGAATCAATGATATAATGAACCATATGTCCAAAACCTAAATGCTCCACATGTAGATATAATCAACAGAGAAAAATCACTTCATCCTAGCAATGCAAACGATTTTGAAAAATGCAAAGTATTTTACAAGGATAGGATAAACAAACTAATTGCAAAACCAAACACCATTACTACACTGTAGGTGCTTATTTCAAAATCCGTCACCCCATATTTCATGGGACAAAGGTAGTTATGAAGTCATATTTTGTGTCTGAAGTATCAGAATAAGACACACTATAATAGGGGTCGATCATTGGAATTTATTTCAACAGTCCAATACAGTGCCTGAAAGCACACAGGATTGCAACAAGTATAAGGATTAACCCAGCCCAAGACTGCCAAATCATGTGATAACAGCAATCACACACGGACAGAAGCTACGATAGTGTCAACCAAATACTAAAATGATATTTTAATACCTTTGATTGTTCATAATCTTGAGGTTTTGCGTGTGCAATAGTCTGCACCTCCAGAGATGTTATACAATCATTCAAAGCACTGACAGCCGGGACATAAGAAGCTAATTGATCACACAGTCTTCCATTTTCAACTTCCAGCTTGCTAACTCTTTCTTTCAGCTGTTCACTTTCTAAGTCTTTGGAGTAATTTCTGCGTTCAAGATTCTCACATGCATCAGCTAACTCACAGACCTTTCCTTCAAACAAAGTTTCATTGACAACAGAAATCTGCAGTTCAGCAAAGAGTGTTGAAGCCTGAGTTTCCCATTTTTCAATCTCATTTGTTCCCTTATGTAATTCATAACTTAGATCCTTTTCCCTCATCTTAGTTTCTCCAAGCTCTTGATGTAGGTGTCTCATTTCTGACTCCAACTTCTGATTCACTTCACAAAGGCATCTGAGCTCTTCATTTTGATGATCCTTGTCTGAGGACAACTTCAAAATTTGATTAGCCCGTTCTTCAAGCATCATCCTGGCATCATCATACTTAATTTTCAAATCTTCCACCATTCTTTGCAATTCTGTTTTCTCAGTGTGCAGAGCACGGAACATCTCCACTGCTTCCAAAAGCTCATTTTCCTTTTGACGCAACAGTTCCCTTTCATTCCTAATCTTACAACTCAATTCATCATTGACAGATTCAACTAAATGCAGTTCAACATTTGACTTTACAAATAACCCTTTAAGATGTGAATTTTCTCTTCCTGCGTTTTCTAATTTGCATACCATTATTTTTAATCTTTCCTCAAGGTCATTATTAACTGAACAATGTTTGTCAAGATCTTCACCTAGCTTTTTAAGTTCCAGGAGCTTTTCAAAGATAATATTCTGGTAAATCAGAGAAATATTAGATTGAGCAATTGTCTCATGGACCATGACACATATTTCTTCTTCCAAGTTACTCTTCTCCTCACCAAGATCTTGAAATCTTCTTGTCAAGGACTTTTTCTCTTCCAATGTCTTGCAACTTTCTTCTTGTAACTTGTTGTGACTATTTTCCAAGACTGACAGCTGCTTGCATAGATTGCCTATTTCAGTTGCCATTACTTCCATTCTTTCTTCTCCTTTGCTTATTGTCAACTTCAACTCTTGATTCTTCTCCAATATCTTTTGAACCTCTATTTGCAATGCCAAGAACTGCTTAGACTGGATCCTGAACTCCTCATCAAGGTTATCTCTTTCTGTCACAAGATTTTTTACCTTTTGTTTCAATTGCCCAAGGAATGCAATCAGAACTGAATTCTCAATGGCCATTTTCTGGCTGTCATCAAAGATTGTGTCAAAAGACTTCTGCTTCTCCTGAAGTCTTCCATGTATATGGTTCAGAAGCATCTGGTCTTCTTCAATCTTATCTTCACAGAAATGGTCACTGTTAATGTCAAGAGTCTTCAACACTTGAAGCAGCCCAATCCTTAGTATTTTAATTTTCTCAGACAGAGAATTTACATCATCCTGCTTTTGAACATTTTCAGTCTCCAATTTAGACATCATTATGTCTGATATTTTGGAAGCCTCCAAAAGTCTTTGGCTCTCAACAAGAAGAGAGAAGTTCTTTTTCTCCAAATCATGGATACATTTCTGCAGAATGAAAATTTCAATCTGAGCATGTATAGCTCTGTCCAGTTCCTCCTCATATTCCTTTTTCTGGCAATTTGCATCATCTTGTAGTATATGAATTCGTAATTCCTTCTCAGCCAATTCATCTTCATTCAATTTCAAAAGTCTGGAATGCTCTTCCCTTTCAGAATATAGGGAAAGCAGCAACTCTTCTACCTTTTTAAGTGCAGACTCCCTTTCTCCTTTTAGTTCCAAATGCTTTGATTCCAAATCACTGTGTTGTTTCTCAAGATCTTTCAATGTTTGATGAGTGATGTTCAACTGTGAAACTAAGGTTTCTTTCTCTTGAAAGATACTGGACTTCTCATGTTCAAGTGACTGGCATGTGTCTTCTAATACCTTGGACTTCACCCTTAATCCTTCGAGTTCAGCATTGACATCAAATAGTGAATTTTCCAATAGATTGCTCTTTTCTGAAAGCTTTTCCAGTTTTTCAGTGGTGGCTTGTAACTGAGAAAACAAGGCGGCCTTCTCAGCAGCAAGAGTTGATTTCTCAACAAGCTGAGATTGGCATGTTTCTTCCAACTCACTTACCTTTCCTCTGACACTGTCCAACTCAGCATTCAAGTCTGAAAGGGAATTCTCTAAAACTGTATTTTTCTCCAAAAGTTTCTCCATGGTTTCCAATTTTACCAGAAGAGCTTCTTTCTCACCTTTGTCTGCCTCACATGTTTCCTTCAGCTTTGAGTTCTCATCTTGCAATTTTTTCACAGATGAGACAAAGCACTCCGGGTCTAAGTCAGTTGACCTAACCTCCTCCATCATGGCTTCATGTTTATTATTCACATCATTAAGCTCCTCTTTAAGACAGTAAATTTCTTGCTGAAGAGCATTTCTTTCATCAATTCTTAGCTCCACCTCCTGTTCAAGTTTCTGTATTGTTTCCCTCAAATTCAAAATCTCATCTTGCAAATTTTTTATAGACAATGATGAAGAAATTTTGACCTCATTTAGAATCTTGTTTTCCTCATTGACCCTGTGTACTTCGTCCTCTAAAGCCTGCTTATGTGATTCCACATTCCCCAGTATTTCCACTTTACTGTGAAGTTCAGCAGCAAGAGATCTAAGCTCTTCCTGAGACTGAGAATGCAAATGCTGAAGAGTTTGGAAAGCAGTTTCGGCCTCAATGAATCGCAATCTCTCTTCTTGTATGCAACCCCAAAGTCCACTCAATTCTTTCTGCTTCTCACTAAGTTCTTCACTTTGAGACCCCATCGTTTGTGTCAAAGACTGCAATTCAGACTGCAGAGTGTGATTTGATGTCTCCAAGAGAAGACACTTCTGTTCGGAACTCTGTAACTTTTCAACCTTGTCATTTATCTTGGAATTTAGCCTTCTCACCTCCTCTTCAGCACAAAAGAGTTTATGCTCCAAACTAGAAATTATCTCCAAACATTGCTGATAACGGAGAGCAGCATCTTCCTTCTCTTCATTAAGTTTAGTAACTTCTAGTTTCAACGCCTCAATTTCATTTTCAGCTATATTAGCCTGCTCCTTAATCCTTCTTGCATTCTCCTCGGCTTCTTCTAGCCTCTCCTCAAGTTTTGATAATGTCTCCAAGCACTGTCTATATTGAACGAGGGCAGCTTCCTTTTCAGCTTCTACTCTAGCAAGGTCCTGCTTTAAGGAATCAGCTTCAGTTTCAGCTCTAGTAGCTCGTTCATTAAGTTGCCCTGCATCCTTTTGAGCAAAAGAAATATTTTTCTCCAGATTAGATATTTTCTCCAAGCATTCCTGGTACTGAAGAAGACTATCTTCCCTTTCAGACTGTAATTTGATTAGGGCTTCCTTCAAGGCTTGAACTTCAGCTTCAGCTTTACTTGCTCTCTCATCAAGTATTTGAGAATTATCTTGTGCTCGAGACACTTCTAATTCAAGATTAGACAACCTCTCCAAACTTTGCTGATACTGAAGCAAACCAGCTTCCTTTTCACCTTCTAATTTAGTAATGGCTTTCTTCAATGCCAAAATCTCTGTCTCAGCTTTTGTCACACGATCGGACTCGGACAAGACTTGAGTTCTTGTATCATGGCTTCCATTGTTTAGATCACTGCTCTCCTCCTGTGTATCAAGAAAATTGAGCCCCTTTCTAACACGCCCTTCTGCTAACTTTGCATGATTTTCATTATCTCCAGGAATGTAGAGATCACTGAGCTGTTTCAAACCTGTTTTGTTCAAAGCATAATCAGGTTCTTCAGTAGAAGCTCCATTTCTTTTGATAGCATGGAAATGAGTGGAAGCATCCTTTTGTGGTTCATCAGGATCAAGAAATACACGTGAAGGGTGGTGCATATCTGGAGTACGTGGCTCAGTCTCCGTGAGAGAAACTGCAGGTAAATCATCTGTCAGCATCATTGGAATTTGATTAGGAAATGCTTCAGCCATGGTCCTATGGGCCTGACGGATCACTCCAGTTGCATGATCATATCTCTCAGCCAATGCCCGGTATGCTCGGTAAAACTCTTCAACCAATTTCATAAGCTCTGGGCGTTTTTTATAATACATTTCTGCTCTCCTTGCAAAGGAATCTGCATCTTCTTCAATGAGCTTAATCATTTGCTTCACCTTGGCATCCATATCTGTGCAAGAGGAGATATCATTGTGATAAGTCCCAATGCTCTTAAAAACAGACAGCACCAAATGCATGACAACAGAAAAATTAAATATTGCCACATCTTTTCAAGTGATTAAGCAAACAAAAGATATTATTGCAAAGTCAGATATAAATAGAGGAAGTAGATTTGGCTTAACAGATATACAGACTAGTGCACAAAGAGCACATAACGTGTCCCTGGAGAAAATAAACTGATATTTTGTAAAACCAAAAAAATCACATCAGTTCATGCTTCAACGTCTATATCTATAAAAAGAAAAATATTTGGAGAAGACATAAACAAACAAAGATGATTAACACTTGCAGTTTTGGAAAAATGCTTCCATAAAAATCTAAATATGCACTTTACGATATCTCAACTTAAGTGCATCATACGAGTTCCACTGAATTTTGAAGTGAAACCAAAAACGGATTAAATCATATTATATTATTGTGGCCGACATTACCAAAGATGAAATATAATTCCATTGTCCAGATCAATACTATAAAGCTTTTAGCAGAAAAAACATTTTTAAACTATAATATTTATAAGGCCTCATAGCAGTCTCAATGATTATATAAGACAGCAAAGAGAAAAAAGAGAAAATAGATTTCCTTTCCATTTGATGTCAGAAACATTTATTTCCCTATAGATAACAGATCAATAATTGGTGTAATTCAATCTCCACCTTGAAGGTATCAAGTCATGAACAATAACTATGTTAACATGTTAAACATAATTGGTATCAAAGCCAAAAGGATAGAAGACACTACCTGTCAGATTTTCCTGGAGCCATTTTGAGTTCTTGGGGCTTATGTGGCTGTCCCACCACCATGAATACATTCTTCTAGGATCCGCATGAGACACTTTCGCCATCACTCCACCAAAGGACACCAGCACTTTGTCTTCCGATGTTGTGAGAACTTAAACCTTGGAAAATTGGAATAAGTAAAACCAGAACCGTTTGACCACCAAGTCACCAACGTTTCTGCTTGTATGTATTCGTTGGAACAAACAAAATGAAAGGAACACAAACGTTCAGTTTCAGATAAACCAAAGCAACGCCCTTTACTTCTGTCAAAAATGATCTGAAACTGCACAAGAAATACCTCAAGCTCCAAAACTGAACCTGATATACTGGACAAAACGCAAAAGTAAATAAATAAATAAATCAGAATTCAGCAAATAAAAAACAACAATAGTCTTATCACATTAGGTAAGGTGAGTTTTATGAATCAAGGCTCAATTAAAAATTAAATTCTAAGAAATATTATTTACTGTCAACATAATTTTTTTTAAAGCATTAAAAGATGACAAATCATCAATTCGTTCTCAAATTTTAACATGAATTATGATGATCATGCATGATATGGAAACCATATAATTGAAACTACCCAATCAATCAAAGCCAGATAATTAACTTACAATTAAAACTAAAAAGAAAAAAAAACTGAAGATCAATACAAAAAAAGATGAGTTGAATTGAGAAGTGGCAGGGAGGAAGAGAAGGTTGCAGTTAGAAGCGTGAGAAAAGATCAATCCATCAATAGTGAAACACAAAAAGCGTATAATTCAGATATCATATTACTCACCAAATATTGAAACTTTGAGCTATTGGGTTCTGATTCCAATCGGCGGCGATGAACAAATTCGGCTGCTATTATTTGTGTGTTCGAATTTTGATTAAAAATTATGTGTATCACCCCATGTTGGTTAGATCTCAGTGTTTGGAACACAACACACACAAACACAATACACAATGTTGTCTGTCTCTGTGTCTGTGTTTCTCTCTCCTTCTGCTGCTCTGCTTTTGGTTTTGGTTTTAGCTGTGTAGGTTGGTGGCAACTGTCCTCAACAGGGAAGAGAGAAATGCCAAATTGCCAACGGAGTAAAAGTAAAACACTTCTTCAAATATCAATTTAATATTTTCATTAATTGCTAAATTGAAGGTTTGAAGTGTATTAAATGCCTTTTCTTTAATTATTATATCGGTTAATTAATTGAGTTAGTGGTTAGGAGGCGTTCATTGCATATTGATGACTCCAGTGTGGACGTTTGATGTTTGATTAATATTATTCAATTTCAAAGTAATTTTCTTAATGTATTAGGTAGGTTTTAATTTTGTCTTCATTTGGCTACTTTTTTGAGGTATTGTTGCTATCTACTGCTAATTTTCTAGATTATGCCACACTAATTGTTTCTTTTAATCACTATCTTCTTCGGATTCCAGCATTTATCCTTAACTAATTAGATTGAAAATTTTAATTTCAGGTAGACTTTATACATGTATACTGAAAAGAGAAATATTAATAATATATTTTTTAACATGTTTTTAAATATATTGTATTAATTGCTTATTTTTAGAAATTAATTAATTAATGAGATAAATATATTATTTTTTCAAACAATTATTCACAATAAATACATTAAAAATATATGTTGTTAATATTTTCCATCTTAAAACTATTTGTAGAAAAACTTAATTATTTTCAATATTAAGACTAGATTAGAAATATCCTTATAAATCATTTCTCTATTAAATTAGTCAACCATTTTGAAATGATACATCCGTTTATTTATTACCTTAATTTAATTTCCTGACACGTAGTCATTTTTTATATTATAGAATTGATTTATGTTTTCAATAATGTGAAGATATCAATAGCAAAAAAAATAAAAATAATGTGAAGATATCTCTTGTCATATTTTTTTTATGACATGTAATTTTGTTGATATTTAACGTTATTTTTCATTTTTCTATATAAAAATAATTTTGTTAAAATGACACTTAATCTTTTTTAAACAAAAATGACACAGTTTAAAAAAAAAAAGAGAAAGAAATAACCTATACGTTTAATTTTGATGCCTTGGTAGTATAATTTTTTTTACTGTCAATTAATTAGAATACATGCGATTTTATATTAATTATTATAAAATTACTAGTTTTTATTAATATTACATTTCCTGATTAGAGGATAAGTATAGTTTTTTACTTGTAGTTAAATTAAATTTATAATTTACTTAACTAACTTGTAAGTGTGTTAAGACCAAAATAAAAGTATTTAATTAATTAATTTGCCTCAATAGCTTGTATTTTTTACACATATAAGCAGTATTTATTTGAAATAGTGTTTAAATTTATAGTTTTTTTTTTATCTATAATACTTTAATACATTCCTTCAGTCATAACCTCTTTCAAAATATCTCCTTCGTTACATTTATAATAAAAAATGTACCAACTTTAAATTTTAAAATTAAATTTAAATAAATAATAGTAATTTTCAAAAATAAACATTTAATATATTTTTTATATGTTTGATACAATAAATATATTTTTAATAAATTTTTTTTTTAATATTTATCTTTGACAAATATCGTAATTTTATCCATTATTAGTATAAAAAGATTACATTATTAATCAATTATAATTCATCTTGAATATAATTTTTATATTCATTGTTGTATAAATTATTAATTTTTGTTGATGCAACAATTCATAATTGAATGATAGTATACATTTTTGTATACTATATACTTTAAATTATCAATCATAACTAAACCAGCTTAATTTTGAATGTCTTTAAAATATTAATTAAGAAGATAGAAAAAAATTTAATTAAAAAAACATTTTTACATTTTTTTCTAGTAATTAAATCATAAACTATTTTTATTTAATATTTTTAATTAATAACATGATCAAGGTGTAAACCTAGTTAATAGGATGGTGTTGAATAAATATTATTTGGGGGGAAAATATGAAATACTTCCCATTAGCATTTGATTGTATACAACAATGTTAAGTGCAATAAATTACACAATATATAAATTGTAAAATATAACATAGTATGCTAATTAAAAAGTATACATGTGTGAGGAGAAACGAAGACACGTGTTGGGGGTTTGGAATTGAATATGGTAAATGGACAAAATGTGGTGCGGATGATGTGACACGGTGTCGTTTTTAAAGGGTGGGTGGAATGTAATGGCTAAAGACAAGGCGTTGATCTATGTTTGCTGCATCATTCAACACTCATCACTCCCGAAACCGCCGTCACCGCCCAAACAAATTCCGTTAACAGAGAAGTGCGTCCCGTTGTTTTCGTAGGAACACCTTTTTCTTCGTACGTTTCTCGTAGAAAGAGATGAGACACTCCCGTTCTTCATAACTCACGCACGTTATTGATAAGCACTTCCATTTTAAGTGATTCCATTCACTCCGTCAATAAAATAATCACTTCCAATTTGCTTTTATTGAGGGTAAAAATAATTTAATGTGTGATATAATAAACAGAAAATGTGTCCTCATTTTTTTAAATTATTATATTGCCACTTAAAAATTCGCCACATGTAACGGATCTCATTTTTTGAAATGTGTGCTCATGAGATCTTCTCTTAACTTCTTTAAGATTGTAAGGTTCTTCATAGTTACAAGCTAGATATAATTTTGGGGGAAAACATGTAAATAAAAAGACTTAGCTTTATCAAATTAGAATTTTTACAATTAATTTTCATAAATGTTATAATTTTTCTAATTTTGTTTAAATTTCGCAAACCAACCCTGATATTCATGATCTTAGTTTCATGCACAATTTCATATATTATTCTTTAATTCACCTAAAGAAATTCTTACGTTATATGAATGATATCTTTAGGTGACGGGGCGGTGTAGGAATTATTATATTTTGGGCTCTTATTTTGAAAAGGACACCAAAACTGAATTATTGAACAAAAAGATAAATGACGTACAGGAATATCGAGCTGGACTTGGAGGATTCATAATTATAAATGTAATATATATATACAGTAAAAGTTAATGTGTATATATATAAAAACAAAATAAACTTGATTTTTCTAATTCCACGCCGAATTTTCACTCTATAAAAAGTTTCTCCACTTCTCACCAATATTTTCGATTGCATTATACTTTATAACAATCAATTTCAAGAACAAAAGCACAACCAAAAAACGTATACCAAAATAAATAGTAATATAAAATTACACTACTCCGGTTTTCCACTCTCATAAAACTAAAAATATACACGAAGAAATATTTATAAAGTAAATAAACATTTAAGAACAAAACATATAATTCACTGTGATATGTTTAAATAATCACCTTATTGAAATAAATTAAATATATTTTAAAATTAAAGCGCTCATAAAATAGACATCAAGTCTTCTTGTTATGAAAAAAATGTCGCAGAAACTTATATATAAACGATAAATTCTTAATAAAAGAAACCAATGTCCAAAATAAAGAAAGAATTCAATTCAAATATGTTGTAAAAATAATTTTTTATACGATTACTCAATTGATAGTGTAAATATATATATATATATATATATATACTGACAATGCACTAGAGTTAAACTAAAATATATATAATCATTATAGTCGTATAAAAATATCATAATAAATTTATTTTAGTAAAAATAACTGATCAATAAAACACATTTAATATAAATTTATATCTTGATTGATTCACTTTTTAACTTATAATAGTTAATTTTTTTTCTCATGATTAACAATATTATTATATACTAGCGTGATATATATGCAAAAAAAGACTCTATATAATTTAATTTTCTTTCTTATTCTCTTATTTCCTTATAAATTAGAACATTGGTTTAAAAGTATTATTATAATAACAGAAAGGAGGCATTTCACGTGAGGATGGATACAGAATCAGAAATAGCAAATTGTGTGATACTCAATGGTCTGACAAACGGGGAAAATGATTTTTGACTTTATAAAAGTAGGGTTCATCCACCAACTTCAATTCTTTGTTTACAAGGCTGGCAACACATTGTCATTTTTTCATACAATTCCCACTTTCATGGAAGCCGTTTCAAGCAAAGCTCATAAATTAATTGAGATCTTCTAAAAAGTTGATCATACTAACCACAATTGGCTCAAATAATAAACACATTTTTTTAAAAAGTGAAGTGAAGGGATCTATGAAATTTGATTATCTGATAAAGCCATTCACCTTTAATAAAAAGAAAAGTATTAATAAATATTGTTAAGGTACCGATTAAAAGATTAAAAATAATAATATAATATACCATTTCGATTTATAAGGGCTTATTACATTCATTTATCTTAATAATATATTATATATTATTAAGTTGTAAACACGGAATTACTTTGGTTTGAAAGATATATTTATATTTTAATTTACATTCTATTTAAAACTATTATAATAAAAAGATATCAGCTGTGTTAGTTGATCTGAAATAGATTTAGACATTTCTTACCGATGAATCGAACTATATTGTTTCTTTTTCTTTGGATGTGACTACGCAAACTTTCACTTCTAAAATTTATGATATAGCTATATACATAATTAGATTTTCACCCCCCCCCCCCCACCCCCAAAAAAATGATAATGATAGATTAAGAGTTAATCATATATTTATATAAATGTAAAATTCGAAAATGAAATCGAACTTTCACTTTAAATTAGATTTTCTTTGTTGACTTTATCAACCTTAAAACAAATTGAACCCATTGCACGAGTTAAGTAATATTCAGTATTCTCACCAGATGATTCATTTTCAGGGGGATTAAAGAGAAAATAAAGACACAGTTTGATATTCATCACAGTCATCGTAACAATTGATGGAAAGGAGAAAAGGTTAGAAAGCCATCAATCTCTTGGACCTTCTAATTGGTGACTGCAATTAATTGCATTCCACTCCATCCACAAAACGACACCAAGGTTACCTTTAGCTTTTTCACTCCACATAATTTTATCAAGAAGAACGCCAACAACAATTCATGAATACATTATTTTTTACACATTTTTTTACTATTAATTAAATTTTATTAAAATTCACAAAATCACACGTGAAAATTTATAAATGCTTCTCTATTTTTTAATTTACGAAATTCATCATTTTGTAATGATGATATATACACTATACGTTTACTGAAAGGCTGGTTTATCCATGGGGTCCTAGCAGACTAGTCCTAGGAAGATAGATACAAATTTGAATAGCTATATAATTGAGTAATTGGTCATTATTAGGAATGGGAAGGGACGATTCAATGGCCATGTCATGCCAAGGCATTGCACAGTTTTGGTTGTCCATGGGAATATAGGATAGGGATGACCCCATTGCCAGCATCGAAGATACCAAAAGCCGAAAGCTGATAATCAAATCCTGTAATTGTCATCATGTTGTTAGGTTAAAACATCAGCATATGCAAAGAAATACCCCAAACTGTTGTCAAAGTAAATGTGGACTTGGATTAGTATATGGGTATAAGATGTTGGGCTCCTCAAACAAAGCCCTATTTGAAAATGGTCCTTTTAGATTGTTGACTCCTAAACTAAGCCCAAATATGAGGCCCATGTCAAAGGGTGTATAGTGGTTGATGACTACATAAAATAATAAAACAGAAGAAAAAGAAAGAAGACGAAGGCTTTGACTGTATGCTTACCAAAGTGGGAAAGTCGCATTCATCCATATCCTATTCCCATTCTATTACAGCGCAGCACACTTATCGGTAAAGATTGGGATTTGACAAAACTACCCTCAGCAGTGTGCTGTGATGAACTACTATTCATTCCTTCGATTCCATTGCCCGGCTCACACATGCCAAAGACAATGGCTTCTCTGGCGTTGCTCCGCAGAAAACTTAGCAGCTGCAGCAGACTCTCCCACTTGCACGTGTGCGCACGTGCCTTCTCCGACGGCAAGAAACAGCGAATCGAGAAGATTCTAGTGGCGAACCGAGGCGAAATAGCTTGCAGGATTACCAGAACCGCGAAGAGGCTCGGAATTCTAACCGTCGCCGTTTTCAGCGACGCTGACAAGAACTCACTCCACGTGGCATCCGCCGATGAGGCCATACGAATCGGACCGCCACCTCCTCGTCTGAGTTACCTCAACGGAGCATCCATCGTCGACGCTGCCATTCGTTCCGGTGCGCAGGTCAACTCTTCTTCACTCTCTCGCTTTTCGTCTTTGCTTCGTTCACCTAATTGACTGACACGTGTAATGTTTTCGGTAATCAGGCTATTCACCCTGGATATGGATTCTTGTCCGAAAGTGCTGACTTTGCTCAACTTTGTGAAGACAATGGTCTTACATTTATAGGGCCTCCTGCATCTGCAATTCGAGATATGGGTGACAAGAGGTATCTGTCGTAGAGTTTCATTCTTCTGTGTCATGAAAGAGTCTTAATCTGATCAATGTTTTGTTACGAATCCGTGGCAGTGCGTCGAAGAGAATAATGGGGGCTGCAGGGGTGCCTCTTGTGCCTGGCTATCATGGAGATGAACAAGATATTGAGAAAATGAAGTTGGAAGCTGATAAAATTGGGTATCCAATTTTGATTAAACCCACCCATGGTGGCGGAGGAAAGGTGCTTGAAACAATGCTAGCAATATACTCTCTTAAACACACTTTATATTATTGGTTGAAATTTATTGAAAATAACAAAAAATTACTTGGGTTTTCACTTTGAAGTTAATGATTATCGCTCGTACTTTTTGTAGTTTTTAATAAATTTCAACAAAGAGAATAGAATGTGTTACAAAGAGTATGTTTCTAGTATTCCTCACCTTGATATTTATCCTCATTCCAGTTATTCCACTACCTGAGCCTTAGTGCAGTTGCAGGGGTGTGGTACTTTTCTTTCTTTAGTAGTCTGTTACAGAATTACTCTCTATGTTGCTTGATTATTAGTAGGAATGCATTTGGCCATTTTGTATAACATAATGTTTTAAATTGCCGATTTTATGCTGTGATTCTGTTATTGTGAACCTTATCATCTCGTTCATTGATAGGGGATGGCCTAATATGGATCATTATCGTAGTTGTGATTACCGATCACTACTCTTTTAAGTTTGTTTCTACATGTTTGAGAGCTGAAAAATCAATTTTAAGAATTCCAGATTTCTTTTATGGGGGAAAACAGACTTGTTGCTCACGAGCATAAAATTTCCTTCTGTTGAATTTTGGAAATGTGAATACTGTAGGGTATGAGGATTGTACACACTCCAGATGAGTTTGCTGAATCGTTCCTAGCAGCACAACGTGAGGCAGCTGCTTCTTTTGGTGTCAATACAATATTGCTGGAGAAGTATATTACACGGCCAAGGCACATAGAAGTCCAGGTATTTATACTCATATTTTATCATCCCTACTGTCATATTTCTCCTGGAAGCTTCATTGGTTGCTTACTTTTCTTCTGAAAAATTAAAAGTGCCTAATAGTGGATATTCCTTACTGGAACAATTGGATTAAAATAATGGGCATCAATAAAAATTTCACATCTCTTTGATTGGAGTCTATTACAGATCCTTTTCTGTTTGACTTTGTAGATATTTGGAGACAAGCATGGGAATGTTCTACATTTGTATGAGAGAGATTGCAGTGTGCAGAGAAGACACCAAAAAATAATTGAAGAAGCTCCAGCAGTAAGGCTTCCATTCCTTGTTCTTGATATTAATTATCTTTTTTTTTTTTTTTTAATCTGGAGTTAAGAACTTGTAATAATAAAATTTGCAGCCAAACATTTCTACTGATTTTCGTGCACACTTGGGTCAAGCTGCTGTTTCTGCTGCAAAGGTAAGGTCCCTTTATTTCAAAATGCTAAACTGTACCATGTCTGCAACTTGCAGTCACTTCATCAAGGCTCAAGATCTGAAATCATTGGTTCATTCACTTCTGCTGAGTAGTATGAAAATCTTCAGATAACTTGTATTTGACCAGATTAATTTTGAATATCATTGGCAATTTTTTCTTTTCCTCTAAAAAATTTATCAATGTTTGATTATTTGTTCTCTTTGTTATAATTTCTAATGCAAATGTCAGTGAAATGATAGTAACTGTACAATTTATGTTGCAAAATTAATTAAAATTAAAATAGCATTAAAATGTGATGTTGTTATACCAATTTTGACATGTTGGCAAAATTTAATGATTTTCAGTGTTGTGTCTTGTCTTACCCTATTACCATAGATCCTTTGAATGTTGGGTTATCAATGGAAAAATAAGTAAGCTATTTGGTGCCAAGCAATCTAGTATCCTATTTTATATTACTTTAATAATGCTCATTTGAAAACGGAAACTAATCTATTTACATACATATTTCTTCTGAATCTATTTGTGTCTAAATCATAGCTAGCCAACGTATTGGAATAAATGTAGACTTAAGGCCTGTTTAATAACTCAGTTAAGATCCTAAATGGTGAAATTTGGCACCAAGATTATTATTATTATTATTTTGGTGGTATTTATTAGTATTGACATGAAATAAAAGGTAGTGAAAATATGGAAATATTAAAAAAATGGAGGTTTGCTGAATGTTTTCAGCAGTGACTTCCCTTGCTATTGTTCTACTCCCTCCCTATATATCACGTTTAATGATAGTTTTTTTCATCGCCTTCAAATTAAAAACATGATAGCTTTTTCATTTATTACATTGCAATAGTTTCTTTTTGTATGCTTTAAATGTTTAAAATGTCTTTGAATGTTAAAAACCGTATGCTTAAATTTTTCAGTTTTGAACTCTAATAAGTAATCTTTGTTGAAATATCTTTGAGAAATGAGGAGCAGCTTCCTTTTATTTGTCCCCTTTCTTCACGTGATTCTAATTTCTTCACTCCATTCTATATCATCCACTGATTTCATGCTTCTTTCTGATGGCTGAAGGCAGTTAATTATTACAGTGCTGGGACTGTGGAGTTTATAGTTGATACAGTCTCTGGGAAGTTTTACTTCATGGAAATGAACACCCGTCTTCAGGTGCCTGGATTAATTTTTACTGTCACTTTATCCTAGAATTAAGGCTTACAAAAGTATAATATGGGGCATGCTAATACAGGTTGAGCATCCTGTTACAGAGATGATTGTTGGTCAAGATCTTGTTGAATGGCAAATCCTTGTTGCCAATGGAGAAGCTCTTCCATTAAGTCAAGCACAAGTACCCATATCAGGTGATTCTGCTTTTTCTCTTTTTTCTTTCTGGTTTAGTTTCTTCCTCCCCCTTCCTTTTTTTACTTTTTGTGTGTGGGTGAGGATGAGTTTTCCATATTAAATTAATGATTTCCTAATGGATTAAAGTTTCTTTGGTGAACTAAAATATTTAGTTCTACAATTGGTTAGTTTCTCAGCTCCTGAGCCAAAAAACCGAAAACATTACTTTAAGAGTAAAATTATTTGTGTGACTGGTACGGTGGTACCAATAGGTTTAAAGATATGATTTTTTTTTCTTCTTGTAACCTAAGGTGATTGGTAGTCATGTATGAGTTTAGGCCTAAATTTTGTTATATTCTCTGCAAGGAGAAAAAAAACTTACTAAAATTTATGACTAATTGCTGGTGGGTCATATTAGTGAATCCTCTAAAATTTATACAATAATGAGTCAATCTGAACTGGTTTTCTGAAAATAAGAAAAAGGTACAGAAAATGGGTCTAAGCTGCTAGTTAATAATTTTGAGTTTGTCAACTATTTATTAACCTATTGTGAGAATGTGTGAAGTTCAATCCATCTATTATGCGGAGGCTTTAAAGTTTCTTTATATTATAATTCTTTGTTGTGATGGCAGGTCATGCTTTTGAAGCTCGAATCTATGCTGAAAATGTTCCAAAAGGGTTTCTTCCAGCAACTGGAGTTCTGCAACATTATCATGTTCCAGTCTCATCTGCAGGTTAGCTATGCAAAATTAATCTACTAAGTTGTATTTGGTGGTGGCTTGTAAAAAAAATTGTGGTAGATCTGAAAATTTACCTCCCTTTCTTTGGTTGGAAGAACATGAAACTTCAAAATAGATTTTTGTGGATCTTTCATTTTTACTTAGAAAATTTGCTATTTTGGCAGTACGGGTGGAGACTGGAGTTAAAGAAGGAGACACTGTTAGCATGCACTATGATCCTATGATTGCTAAGCTTGTGGTGTGGGGAGAAAATCGCGCTGCTGCATTGGTCAAACTGAAGGATAGTTTGTCAAAGTTTCAGGTATACTTAAAATTTTCTGTTGCCAACAATGAACTGTGAAGTTATCATGATTTTGGTTAAGGTTAATTGAACTTTCTGTATTGAGATGTAATATGATTTATCCTTCATTAGATCATGTATTTATTACCTTTGGGTCCAAAGGTGGACAAGGTGGGGTGATAGTGTGTAGAGTATAGACATGTAAGAAACCAAGGCATTTCACCCCTTCCCATAGACAAACGAATTCAAGTAATTTTAAATAAACAATTATTTCTAGCTATATGCTGTCTTTTTGAAATCATGCTCCATGTTTAAATTGCTAATTTCTTCTTCCACAGGTTGCAGGTGTACCAACTAATGTCAACTTTCTTCAAAAGCTTGCCAATAACGGGGCATTTGCTAGTGGCAATGTGGAGACTCATTTTATTGATAACCACAAAGAAGACCTCTTTGTTGATGCTAAGAATTCAGTCTCTGTGAAAGAAGCATCTGAAGCTGCTAGACTTAGTGCATCCCTTGTGGCCACATGTCTCATTGAGAAAGAGCATTCCATATTGGCAAGAAACCCCACTGGTAAATTGTCCAATTCTTGCTGTGTAATGTTCTGAATATTTTTTGTATATTTCCTTGGTATTTACATCTGTATGTACAGGGGGCAGCAGCTTACTCCCTATATGGTATTCTTCTCCACCTTTTAGAGTCCATCATCAAGCTAAGCGTAGAATGGAACTTGAGTGGGATAATGAATATGGTAGTGGTAGCTCAAATATCGTGAAGCTTGCCATCACATATCAGCCTGATGGGAGATACCTGATTGAGGTACCATATGAAATAGTAATTTTTTTTTTCTGTTTAGTTGTGTCACAAATTTTCTGAAGTTGACTCAAGATGATACTGTATCTTCCAGTCAGAAGAAAATGAATCTCCTGTTTTAGAAGTCAAAGCCACATATGTGAAAGATCACTATTTTAGAGTTGAAGCTGGTGATGTAATCAATGATGTTAATGTAGCTGTTTACTCTAAGGTAAGTACCTTCCTCTGCATACATGATATTAGAGTTTATATGGATTGATTCGGTAAAAACATTTTGCTGCTGTATCCATCTTGTTTGTCAAATAAATTTCCTTGGAATTCAGGATCAAGTAAGGCATATTCATATTTGGCAAGGGTCATATCATCATTATTTTAGAGAGAAACTAGGCCTTGAGCTGTCTGAAGATGAAGAATCCCAAGATAAACCCAAATTTCAAACATCAGCCAATCCTCAAGGGTCTGTTGTAGCACCCATGGCAGGCTTGGTGGTTAAGGTTCTAGTGAAGAATGAGACAAGAGTAGAGGAAGGACACCCTGTGTTAGTACTAGAAGCAATGAAGATGGAGGTTTGTACAGTAGCTCTGTCAATGTTGGAAAAGTTATCTCTATCTTCTTATTTTATCTATTCAACAAGTTATAACCAACAATGCTCTGTACTTTTTCTAGCATGTTGTAAAGGCACCATCTTCTGGCTATGTGCACGGGCTTCAAGTTACAGTTGGTGAACAGGTTTCTGATGGTAGTATTCTTTTCAGTATAAAGGTTAGTTAATTGCCTTTCCTATTCTTCACATTGGCCATGGACTGGTTGTACTAGCAATATTGTTGTCGCTTTTATGTTTAGTACATCATTGCATAACATTGTATCATTATGTATATTCTCTTTATTCTTATTTTTATGTTTCTCTTTGCGGGTATGATTTGTAATACTTATGAGAGTCTGCTTAAACAGGTAAAAATAATGATGTGTGGGGATGACAATGACAATTTATCTGAATTTTGTGTTCAAATACATTATTTTTGACCTCTCATTCTTGTTTTCAACCTGGTCTAGTTTGTCTAAATTTTTCAATAAGAACTTATAGGAGATATAAATAAGGAAGTAAGATGAATCAAACTCTCATAACTTAAAATTAACTTATGTTTTACTACTACTTTAAAAGCTCTCATCTTATTAAAAAAATTAGTAACTTTCTCATTTAACTTCTTCAAAACTTGAAGTGCATAAGTTAATTTTGACTTATGATAAAGTTCTATTCATTTTTTTTTAATTTCTTTATTTTCTTCTCTTTTAAGCATGTATCTGCAAGTTTACTCAAATTAGGCATCAGTCAAACTAGCTGATAAAAGTAAGTTTCTGTGAGCTGACTTATGATAGTTCAGGTTATTAAGTTTCAATTTTGCTACTAATTTTATCTCAAAAACGTGCAGACATATCATGTATTAGGTTCTTAGAGTTAATATTTTACTTTAGCTATCATAAATTGAAATACCTCATTTGTTGCTCTACCATGTCCGATAAATAGGTTCTATATATTCTATGAAGCATGGACACCGTTAAAGAGGAGTTATGTTCAAACACGTATTTGATGATACTCATTTCAAATTTTGTTATATATTTGTCTCCTGTTAGTGTTCACACCTCTTAGGTCAGCAGTAATGTTGATAGTTTTGTATTTGGGCAGGATCAATAAAATCATACAAGGATTACAGCTTTACGCCAAGATTTTGGCAAGGGGGACCTCATCTGGTTGGATATTTAAAAGCATGAGCCACAGACAGCTATACACAGGTGGACAACGAACAACTGGAAGTTGATTATTTTTTGAGCTATCTTTGTATCTCAAATTTTCTTACAAAAGATGAAATACACTTACAATATTGCAAATAGGCCCTCCAGTCATTAATAACAAAGATATTGCTTCACTATTAGATATTCTTCCATCAGGAGCGTTCACTTGCTCCTTCAATAGATCTCTTAATCTTTTTTCCTTCCATGATGGCGAAGGGAAGATGAGCACACGCTTGAACTTATGCGATTGTTGGAACCATATTCCAACTACAAATCCAAGATCAGTTAACACTAAAAGAAAAAGAAAATTTGTGGATTTGTGGAATAACATACGTGAATTGGCTTTATATATATATATATATATATATATATATATTCTAATTTCAAAATACACCCTCGCAATTGTAATAGCCAAAAACGCACTTTCACATGGTCTAAAATTAGTGTCTGATGATAAATCAAGTGACTTTCACAAAGTACTGATTTTCACCCTACGATTTTGCTGATTATTTTAAAGTTTTAAACTCATTATTTGTGTACAGTTGGTCGGAGCATCAACGGGAATTTCAAATCTAAAAATGCCTTCCGATGATAAATCAAGTGATGACAATACATCCGTCACGTGCCTGTTGTGTTCTCGAGTACGTTCCGGGCGGAATGTAATTGTCTTTTTTAACACGGAATAGAGCACAAAGAACTTCTTTGGACCTCTCCAGACTCCCAGAGGTTGAGTTGTTTTTCTTTTGAAGGCTGCAACTTATCATAGCTTGCGTTTAGATATAATGAGTTATATTATACATGGCATCAATCCTCAGTTGAGATTTTGAAGTGTTTCATTGGTAATTTTAGATGGCTTTTGATAGAGATAGATTGCCTGTCCTTCAGCTAGCAAACAAATTACAAAGTACTGTGCACTTAGTCGTTTTATCATTATCTCTTTGAATATGAACTTTGAAGCGTATGATTGGTTACTCCTCCAAATGGAGCTTGGACCTCAAAACACACTTTTCAAGGCATTTTTCCCAAAGCCGAATGAAGTTGTTATGGGTGGAACCGAGTTTGGTGACAAATGGAAACAAGCTCGAGGTCTCTCTCCTTCATGTTTTTTGTTCAATTCTATGGAATTCAAAACAAGTTGACATAATGTTGTAATGCTCATCCTTTTGTTGGGGACCAAGCACAGAATAGATATGCATTTATATAAACAATTAACCTAGGTTAAACCAAAAAAAAAAAAAAAAACTAAATTAGCCATTTATTCAAGTAGAGTTTATCCCTAGAGCGTCATAGTAAGTGTTAGTTAAAAAATTCACAGAAGGATCACAAACCACTTCATGAACTTAACAAAGCAATTCCAATTGTTAGATTAAGTGCTCATATGACAAAATAAATCCAGATATGGAAGACATTCTGCAGTGGCATGAAAGACATTATGCTCCAGATTCACATAATGGATTTCCAATCAGCATTGTGAGAAATGCTGGAATCAACAAGCACTATCGGTTGCACATACTAGTGGGGCGCTGGCGATAGTGATTGTGATTTGTGATTCCCGATATTTGTTGTTGAACGCTCAAGAAATCGCTTGCTCTTCATGAGAGTGTTGTATAACTATAATTCTTGTTTTCGCTTTGATCATTATCAGAGTCGAGTGGATGGAGTTTAGGGAGAAAATTGTGAGTATAAAATCCAATTGTCTATTATATTTAGGTAGTTACGTAGAATTGGTGGTGTTGATGCACTCTTGCCAATATATGATTTGATATGCAACCAGTTAGAAGATCCGACAAGCAACAGGTACGGTTGGATAGAAAGAAAGGAATACATTTGCTCCCTATATTTACAAGTTTACACTATTTATTGTAATCTTCCTCATCAGTCATTGCTGAACCATTATTCCAATCTTCTCATCGTTTCTCTATTAATTTTCTTCTTCTAAAATAGTCTTCCCAAGGCCATAATCTGAAACTACACTAGAAAACTGAGAAAGCATATTTCCATTCTGGAGTTTGTTTAAGCTTTCTATAATGGTTAAATATCCATTCAAAAACAAGTCCTTTTATTTCTGCAACAATACAAGAATCAAGTATATGATGGAAAATAATTGAACTTGATATCTAAATATAGCTTTGTTATATTATATCTTCATAGTTTGTAATATGTTAAAGTAAGTTGAAAAAATTGCTCGGTTCCAAAATTGTCTCAACGAAATAAATTAAATACTAGAAGAAATTCCTCTAAACTTTTTTTTTTGTTACAAAAAGAAGGCTTAATGAATCTCGGTCGTTTATAACCTAAAACGGTTCCTAAATAACTTGAGACCATAGTAGATATCCCCAATTCATATCTTTCAAGTTATAAACACAACAAACCCGAGTGAAGTTACATCCAAATCTTCAGTACAAGATTTGTGCCTTTGTACAAGATTTGTGCCTTTGTACAAGACGAAGGGGATTCTAGATGGCAGATCAAGCATCAAAACCAGAATAGATTCCACTCTCTCTCAACAACCTCTTCTCTTCTTCAACATAATTTTTCCCCCTGCTTGCCTGACCCAATTCTCTCTTCCTCTTTTCCTTCTGAGAGAAAGAGAGATTCTTCTTCTCATTCCTAGTCAGAGCAGTTGGCAGTTGCTCTCCTTGGGAAATAGCCTCTCTTGTTTTCTTTCGCTCTTCATATGATTCTTTAATTTCCTTATCTTCACGCTTTTCTTTACCAGTAGACCATGACCAATCTTGTTTTGAGTCGTCGCCTTCTTTGGGGGTGGGTACCTTTAGGACTGAAGGTCCACCCTTGTACCCGTGTCGCTTCAGAGCTTCAAAGTCAATTACAGCACTTTTCTGCTTCCTAGATTTCCCTGTAGACAAAAAGTTCATAAAACTAGTGAAGGAAAACCAAACAGCAATAAAATTAGAGACAGTTTTCAATATGCCATACTTCAAGCAACAAAAAATGAAGCTATCGTAATATATGGATTTCAGAAACTAGGAATTTTCACCATGCCACAAAATATGATGAAGAAAAGTCAGGACAATATATTGCAAATGGAGGTTTTAAAATCTGATTTTTTTCCATTTCTGTTCGCTGGAAAAATCTATTCTAGATGCGAAAGAAGCTCTGACAAGAATTTCTGGCAAGACAAAGAAGTGTGATAAGCATCATTAATTGTATGCTCAAATTAGTCAATGCTTTTTATGCATGTATTATGTACAGAAATAAGAATCAACTCATTTAATTGAGGCTATCATTAGGTAATACATCTTCCATAAGACTGTCATCAGTAACTGTGTAGCTATGACGTACAAACTCCAACATGAACACCAGACATGAATACTTCAACATGGCTAACTTCTAAAATATAAGACACCGGACACCACTCACACACAAACACACATATAATTTCAAAAAAATATTAAGAGACATTATTTTACAATGTTTATGTTGTCTGGTTACAAATAGATCTCAAAATAAGATAAAATTATATCATATTTATATTCTTAAACAAATATACCAAGTTTTAAATTTTTTCTGTGGTACGAGCCTTCCAAAAAGATTTAAAGAAGCATACTTTTTTAATATTTTATAGTAAAATTTAAGCTAATTTTAAAAATATTTTTTAATTGGACACCTAACAAGAAGTGTCAATGTTAGAAATGTGTCTGTCCTACACTGCGTTACTTCAAACGAGAGATATCCATGCTTCATAATTATTTCGTGACTAGGTCTTGAAGACTTGCACTAACTCAAGTTGGGGATGGGTTTAAATCCTCAACAACTGAAATTACATCAGTAATCACTAACCACAACAGGGAGAAATGAACAATCTCTTCTAAAGTTGGGCTTCATCAAATTGAGTTCTCCACCATAAGATTACCCCTCAATTATCTTTTTACTTTAGCCAGTACTTCTATCTATTAGATACCAACCAAGAAATGATCTCAGGTAACTGCAACATTATCAACGGATCATTTTACCCACCCCCAGATAAAGCCCTACGAGACCTTCTCTATAAGTTCATAATATCCATAATTCCAACATCCACGGGAACTACCAATTCCAAAGTTTCAAAGCTAGGATGAACATCAATCCACATTCTAGGCACAAAGATAATATCTATAACAACAGAGTATATAATCTGAATGCCATCTATGTTGAGAAATTCATTGAACAGACCCACAGCACAAAACATAAAATGTGGGACATAATCACAATATACACCTAAGCACATCCATTGTTCAATTCAAGTGAGTAAATTTATCAGGATACTATTTGTCACTCACTCACTCACTCACGAATTTATTGTCATAAAAAAAAAAAAATCAGTTAATTTTAACACAATAAAAATGTTTAACTTCGTCATTGTATTTAGCAATCAGCAGAGTTATAAAATTAAAAACCACTAGAAAAAGAAAAGGGGGTGGTAAATTAAATACCCTTGGAATTTTGCCCTCCAGTTTCACTGTCACGTTCAGAATCTGAATGAGAAGATGATGACTCGTCATCATCATCACTCCATGGCATAGTCCTCTTCATTGTAAGAAAAAAACACTGTTAAAATGCAAAAGATGGCACAGCTGAATCAGTGGAACAGGGAAAGATGCGAAGTCGCTTAACAGTTTCAACCTTCTGAAAATATAAAACTGATCGATCGTTAGGAGCTGACGTTGCCGTCAAACACAGAAACCCATGAAATTTTTCGGAAACTGTTCAGAAACAGAGACTAAACTTGCGCGTGCAGTAATAATAGGGAAATAGATGCTCATCAATTTTCAAAATTTGAAAATTAATTAAAAAAAAAAAAACACTGGAAATACATATAGTGTGTACCGTTTGTGGTTGGGCTGTTGTTTCTTGGTGGGTGGTTTCGGAATTGGAATTTGGATTCTGTTTCTAATTACATTTTCTGCTACGACGCCATTTTAGGGATTTCTCAATTAACCAATTCAGAACCCTCTTCTACCCTTTCTGTCCAAACTCGGATAATTTTACAAATTTATTATTTAAAAATGGGATAACTTACCTCTTATTTTCTTGTAATTTTTTGCATTAATAAAATATCTTTTCTGTCAATAAATACTCTTATAAAAAAAATAAAATAATAAAAATAAGAGAGTTAAATGATGCATAACAAAAATATAAACACCTCTAATAAAAAAAAATGAGACCACTGCATGATGGTGGCCTTATTACGGTGATTTAAAAACATCAAATATGTGATCAATGAAGTTGCTGAATTCATTTGTTTTTCATATTTTATTAGGACCACTGCTCTATTATATTTACCCAAACTATGTGCACATATAATCTGCATCACCAAGTATAGTTTTGTGTAGGTCCTATCTCTTTATACACTTTGGCTTCACCTTCACTTCAACTTCAACTCTGCCACAAGATTGAACTCTTCTTTTAATGCATTGTTAATGTGGGAAGAATGTGTGTGGTAATTAAACTCTCCCTTTTCCTGCCCTTCTGATTCATATGCAAAACATTATTGAGGAAATTAATGGAATGAATGACTACTTGTCTACTTCATTAGGATTTCTCCTTCAGTGCTGTTCATACAATCCCAACTCTCTTCTTTACCCTTTTACTATGTGGGCTATGCTCTTTTTTTTTTTTTTCTTTCTTTCTTTCTTAAAAATATTTTAATCCTGATAAAGACAATTTTATTTGGTTTTTCTCTTTCGAGAAAAAAAATATATATCAGTAGAATTCTTGTATATTTTAATATTTTAAAAAATGGTCTTAATGGTATATAGCTTCAAGACATGCCATGTTAATGACCATTTTGAATTGACACGTGATATAACATGTTAACATGAAGTCATGTATTACTTGTTGGTAATGGCGTTCATTTTTTAAAAATTCAAAATTTTACAAAATTTAAAAGTAACTATTTGTTTTGGAAGACTAAAATTACATTAAACCAAATTTATTGGGACTAAATATATATTTAATCTTTTTTAACGTCCTTAGAACAAAATAATTTCGCCTTTTCCTTTCGATCATAATTTTTGCCTTTGTTATTGCTTCCTTGTGTCTTGTTTGTCAATCTTAATCTATGTATCTGGATGAAGACTTGCACGGTATAAGACTTTCAAAAGATATAGCATTTGTACTAAATTTTCTGTTTTGAAATAAATTTTAATATAAATTTGTACTAAAGTTTAATTTTAAAAATAAAAAACTATTTTCAAAACAGTAATTAAACATGCTCTTAGTCTTTGCCTTTGAACTACAACACTTGTGAAGAGCTACTCAAAATGAGAGAAGGTTGGCAAAGCGTGAATGTAGGAGAAGACTTGCTTGAAAACTCTAGAGATTAGCCTTATTTTCCTTCACTCTTTCCTTCCAATCTTTAGCTTTCTTCCTTCATTCACAAAGATTATCCATTAGAGATGTAAATACACTTGAATTGATATACTTCTTTACTAGTTTTAATACAAGACTTAAGGTTCATGCATTATAAACAAATATATATATTTTTCTATTACTTTTCACTTGACTAAGGGTAATTTTAGTGGAAAAAAAGAAAAGTTATGTGAGAATGCTTCTAAAGAGTCCACCAATTGTGGACTCATTAGTACTATAGTGTCATACTTCTTATAACTTGTGGCAGTGAGTCAAAGAGGGCTGTGGTTGGATGATTCTTACATGATTTTGTTTTCCTTATTGTGGTAAAAGAGATATGTTGTAGGAGACTAACTGAATGTTTTAATGTAATTTGTTTCTGAAGATAATATCCTATAAGATTTACGTTACACTTTCCACATGCAGATCTCTCAGTTGTTCACAGAAAAAAAAAGTGACTTTGAACTTTTGATTGCCTTCCATTTGAACTTACAAGCATGCCCAAGCATTCATTTACTCCTTTTTCGAATGTACTGGTTGCTAAGTGGCTATACTCATTATTTTAGGGGAGTGAACCATCTGTAATGATATGAAGGTTTTTTACGTACTTGTTATCAGATTGTCTTTCTTATCACACTTTTTTAATGTTTTAAAGCTATTAGACAGTGACTCATGATTTTATCTTCTTAGAGATCCTTTGATGCATCATCTTACTCTAAAAAATTATAAGAAACCAGAGAATGTTTAAATTAAATAATGAAACCAGTTAGATGAATGTATAGAAATGAAAGACGTTATGCGGAGAAATAATGGTAATATTTAGAAAAACATAATCTTAATTTTTCATCAATGGTTGTTTCCTCACCTTTCTTCCTTATAAGGAATTGGAAAATCAACGAGACTGGCTCTAGTGTCTCCTGTGTTTTAGGCTTGCGAGTATAGCCGCATTATATGCTTCGGGGAATTCACGTAGTTCTTCTGCATGAAGTTTAATTGGTTGCTTATTAAAACACCCTCCATTATAGTCAGAGGAATTTGCCATTTTAAGCTTGTATTAAAAATACTTCGATAAAAAATTGAAGTCATAAGTCTTTATATGCTTTATGAATATCCCTGACCCTGTCATAATAAGATGATCAAACTATACTATTGCATTTTACATGCAAGACATTTAGTTCATTTCTTTTACTGAATTCAGACTATTTGACAAAATTGAACTGCTTTTGCCATCTTTTCTGTACTAATACAGTATAGGTTGTTGCTGGCACATTTTCTTGAGACACTCATGTTCCTTGTGTTGGTTATAGCTCTCTGATTTTCGTCCCTCATGGTTTTAATCTCACAAGTCACACCCATGTGACTGCATGTGAATAATATTAATTCTAGAGAATGACAGTGGTCCTGAAAGAAAAATACATTTGTCTCTTGAGTTTCGATAAGACCTATTATACTTTATCTCAAGCTAAAATACGATCACTTATTCTTCATTTTGTAAGATTGTGAAGTTTTTAAGTCCAGCCAGACATGACTTAATTGAGGTTGATCCAGCCCCTTCATAGATAATAAATAGTGCTTTCGGAAGTGCTAGTCATTATTCTGATTGGTCATCAGTGGCCTCTCTTTATTCTCATGGACACTCACTTTTATGATATTTTGTGCTGATGTTCATCAATACATGATGCTATTTATGTAGTATAGATGAATACAAATTGTTATTCCTTGCTGCTGATTTAAAGAAGTGAACTCCTGCATCTATGTATTGTTGTTCGTACATATTTTTTAGTTGGTATTTTGTATAATTTTGGTAGTTGTAAGTCGTTATTAAGATTATTCAATATACTTGTTGGAATGTCCTGCTGAAATTAAGTTGTCCATTGTCCATGAAAGAGATATATAGTTCAAAATAACATGGTGGTATGTAACGCCTTTAATGATCAATCTGGCTAATAACTTTGATTGAGACAAGCAATATGTTATAGAAAAATTCTTGTCAAGTCTGGACCAGTCATAATTGCTGTTGATTTCACACATTAAAGTTAGGTATTCCACCGTTAGAAATTACTCTACTACCTAAATAAATTCTTTGTTGTACAAATTGAATGTGTGCACTGGAATGTCTCGAAATTGTAAGGGTAGAATACCAACGAGTACCGTTTGGTCCAAAAAACAGTGACAGCTGAGGGAGGATAGAAAAGGACATCCTGAAACTGGTTTTCTCCAACTGAGTCCTTGTGAGGAATGGAAATACTAATAACTCAAAATGTAATAAAGCATAATATGTTAAAATGAACTTAGTTGGCTAAGCATATCACTCAGATACCATTGGAATGGAACCAAGTTTGCCATCTTTTGGCAGTGAGTTAAGCTCAATTTTCTAATATGGTATTCTATTTGGTTTGAATTATAATTCAATCCCCCTCCTATTTTTTTTTTTTTAAATTAATGTTGTTGACCGGAGACTTTTGCAAGTTACCAAATTCTTATGTTCTGTACGAACAATTGGAGTAGCTGAGACACATAATAAAAGCACGAAAGAAAATATAAAGGAACTAAAAAAGAAAAAAAAAGTTGTGTTGAATTAAATATGAATATTGATGGTATTTGGATAACTATAAGTTTGAGGGAACATTATGTACCTGAGTAAAGAATGTGCCATCTTGAGTATATTGAGTGCCAAGAACAAAGACAAATGCACCTAGTCATAATCTGACTACGGGGGTTTGAAGTATTTTCACCTAGAATGTCACTTTGCCAGTGAGGCCAGAATTGACCAAAATCTTGTACATGCCAGTCGTTGTCGGTGCTATGTTATGTGCGCAATATATTATTATACCTTCTTGAAGGAAGGGGCAAATTTTGTGAAATTTTATGTCATGGGTAAAGAATCACATGTGACATAACAATTGCCAAATTTTGCCTTCAAAAAAGGTTCCGTGGTGGGTTTGGAGTGGCAAGGGCATACACAAAATGAAATGGCCCATTGGCCTCGTTAATCAATGAAAAAACCCAAAAAAATAAACACTCGATGATGAAAGCTCGGAAAATGATATATATATGTGAAAGACAGTGACAAGATCTTTTGCCTAGTTGCTAGTTGAATGAAATGAGGAAAGGGACTCAACCATAGGTAGATAAGTTTGGGTGAAAACCACCTCATTTTCTACCCGATCGTGAAAAGTTTCACATCAATATCAGCCTTACCCTTTAGTTCTCCCACCAATAAATTGAAAAAAGAGTCAAGTCAACTGAATTATTTTTCCTTCTTGGACATTTTTTTCTCTAAGTCAAGTTCCTTCTTGGACATTGTTTTCACACAAACCGTAAGAATTTTCTTTAACTTATGCCGGCACCCCAATGCTCCAT